ATTCCCAAGCCAGACAGAGATCCAGCAAAAGAAGAGAACTACAGTCCAATATCCCTGATGAATACGGATGCAAAAATCCTCAACAAGATACTTGCAAATCGAATTCAACAGCACATAAAAAGAATTATCCACCAAGATCAAGAGGGATTCATTCCTGGATTCCAGGGCTGGTTCAATATTCACAAATCAATCAATGTGATACATCACATCAACAAAAGAAAAGATAAAAACCATATGATCCTGTCGATAGATGCAGAAAAAGCATTTGACAAAATACTGCATCCCTTCATAATAAAGACCCTCGAGAAAGTCGGGATAGAAGGAACCTACTTAAACATCATAAAAGCCATCTATGAGAAGCCCTCAGCTAACATCATCCTCAATGGGGAAAAACTGAGAGCTTTCCCCCTGAGATCAGGAACACGACAGGGATGTCCGCTCTCACCACTGTTGTTTAACATAGTGCTAGAAGTCCTAGCATCAGCCATCAGACAACAAAAAGAAATAAAAGGCATCAGAATTGGTAAAGAAGAAGTCAGACTCTCACTTTTCGCAGATGACATGATACTCTACATAGAAAACCTGACAGACTCCACCAGAAGCCTACTAGAGCTGATCCATGAGTTCAGCAAAGTTGCAGGATACAAAATCAATGTACAGAAATCGGTTGCATTTTTATACACCAACAATGAAGCAACAGAAAGAGAAATCAAGAAACTGATCCCATTCACATTTGCACAAAAAACCATAAAATACCTAGGAATAAACCTAACCAAAGATAGAAGAGATCTGTATGATGAAAACTATAGAAAACTTATGAAGGAAATTGAAGAAGACACAAAGAAATGGAAAAACATTCCATGCTCATGGATAGGAAGAATAAATATTGTTAAAATGTCATTACTACCCAAAGCAATATAACATTCAATGCAATTCCAATCAAAATTGCACCAGCATACTTCTCAAAACTAGACTAGTTTTAAAATTTGTATGGAACCACAAAAGACCCTGAATAGCCAAAGTAATATTGAAGAAGTAAACCAAAACGGGAGGCATCACCATCCCAGACTTTAGCCTCTACTACAAAGCTGTCATCATCAAGACAGTATGGTATTGGCACAAAAACAGACCCAAAGACCAATGGAACAGAATTGAGAACTCTAATTTGGACCCAAAAATGTACAGCCAACTCATCTTTGACAAAGCAGGGAAGAGTATCCAATGGAAAAAAGATAGCCTCCTTAACAGATAGTGTTGGGAGAACTGGACAGCAACATGCAGAAGAATGAAACTAGATCATTTTCTCATGCCATACAGAGAAATAGACTCAAAACTGATAAAAGACCTGAATGTGAGACAGGAAAGCATCAAAACCCTAGAGGAGAAAGCATGAAACAACCTCCTTCTTCTCTACCACAGCAATTTCTCACTTCACACATCCCCAAAGGCAAGGAAATCAAGAGCAAAAATGAACTATTGAGACCTCATCAAGATTAAAAGCTTCTGCATGGCAAAGTAAACAATTCATAAAACTAATAGGCAACCGATGGAATGGGAAAAGATAGTTGCAAATGACATATCAGATAAAGGGCTAGTATCCAAAATCTATAAGGAACTCCCCAAACTCCACATCCAAAAAACAAACAATCCAGTGGAGAAATGGGCAGAAAATATGAACAGACAGTTCTCTAAAGAGGACATCCAGATGGGCAACAGGCACATTAAACGATGCTCAGCATCCCTCTTCATCAGGGAAATACAAATCAAAACCACACTGAGATACCACCTCACACCAGTCAGAGTGGCTAAAATGAGCAAATCAGAGGACTCTAGATGGGGGCGAGGATGTGGAGAAATGGGCACCCTCCTACACTGTTGGTGGGAATGTAAACTGGTGCAGCCCCTCTGGAAAACAGTGTGGAGGTTCCTCAAAAAATTAACCATAGAACTCCCCTATGACCCAGTAATAGCACTGCTAGGAATTTACCCAAGGGATACAGGAGTGCTGATGCATAGGGGCACATGTACCCCAATGTTCATAGCAGCACTCTCAACAATAGCCAAAACATGGAAAGAGCCTAAGTGTCCATCAACGGACGAATGGATCAAGAAGATGTGGTTTATCTATAGGATGGACTACTACATGACAATGAGAAACAATGAAATCTGGCCATGTGTAGCAACAGATGGAACTTGAGGGTGTTACGCTGAGTGAAATAAGTCAGGCAGAGAAGGACAGATACCTTTTGTTTGCACGTATATGAGGATTAGGAGGAACTTAACAGAGGATCATGGGTGTGAAAAAGGGGAAAAATAGTGGGGGTAGGGAGGGAGGCAAACCATAAGAGACTCTTGAATGTGGAGAACAAACTGAGGGCACATGGGGTAGGGGGAAGTGGAATGGGGGTGACGGGCATGGGGGGGTCACTCGTGGGGATGAGTACTAGGTGTTATATGGAAAACAACTTGACAATAAACTATTAAAAATAAATAAAGAAAGTAAATGACAAAGTGGACTTTTCACACTAGGTGTTGTAATTTGAATTGCTGAAGCCCGCATTAATTCATGGCAGGCTTTGGACAGGCTAACTAAAATCTTAGGTCCGGAGCAAGTTAATTTACCTCACTAAGCTTGTGTCCTTATCTATAAAAATGTGAGTAAAAAAAAAGTGAGAAAACAAAAAAATGTGGAGAAATTGGAACCCTAGTACATTTCTGATGGCAAACTAAAATGGTTCAGCTGCTGTTGAAAACAGATGGCAGTTTCTCAAAATTAAATAATTACCGTAAGACCTAGCAACCCACTCTCAGGTACATAGTGAAAAGAATTCAAAATTTTGTATGTGAATATTCATAGCAGTGCTATTCGCAATACTGAAAATGTAGAATTGTGAAAGGTAAGCGGAAACAATGGACATGTACATGAATGAATGAATGACATAAAATGTGGTATAGCCACGTAATGCAATATTATTCAGCATAAAATGGAATGAAATAGTGATAGGAGTTGTACTGGTCAATAAACCTTGAAAACATTATGTTAAGTGACAGAAGTCGGTCACAAAACGTCCCATAGTTTATAGTTTCATTCATATGAAAGGATGGGAATATTCAAGTCCATGGACATAGAAAACAGGTTAGTGATCGCCAAGAGTTGGGGAAGGGGAATCAGGAACGACTGTTTAAAGGGTACGGGATTTCTTTTTGAGGTGATGACATTTTGGAAATCTTTTTGGAGCTGGTGATGATGGTTGTACAACATTGTGATTGCACTAAACGGTGCTGAACCGCACATTCTAAATTAGTTAAAACGGTACATTTTATGAAGGTATTTGTAGAGTGGGATTCACAAAATGTGGGCCGCCCCTGCCTAAGTCACAAATCAAAGTCAACCTGCACTTAGGGGAGCCCTAACCTACACCAATCATTAACTTCCAACTCCGTTCGCCTACCTTCGCCTAGAAAACAGGAGCTGCTGTGTTTAAAAGGAAACCCTCTACCTCCTAGTCTATCAAGACCTGTTCCCTGTTTGCCTCTTGAATGCTCTGCAAGTCTCCCTCTTGTCCTAGATCCGCGGGGATCTGTGCTCCATTTCCTGAGGCACTCTAGTCTCCCAAACCAAGGATTATTTTCTCTAGGATAAAGGATGTCAAACTCATTACTCAATTGTTTCAGTTTTGTCATTTGACAATATTATGTGTATTTTACCACAGTAAAAACAAACTGATGCTTTGGGGGGGAAAAAAAGACAGTTGTTAATGTAAATGTACAAATCCACAATCGTATATGATTTTTATACATTCACGAATAGAATACAACAAAGTGAGATAGAAGTACTTGAACTTTATTTGTAGCTAACGAGCCTGTATGGAACCTCCTATCTGCTATTATAGGAAACAGATTCTTTTTGAGGACACATAGCCTATTTATAAAGACGAGCAAAACACATCTCAACAAATACCATAGAGCCAGTTACTTCCCAGTCATATAGTTTCACTGCAATGTAAGTTGGGAATCAATACTAGAAAGACAACGAAATACATGAAGTAAAGAGAAGGGGGAAAACGTCAAAATTCTTCTTCTCCCCCAAATAACTGAGCTAGAAATAGAAAAAACAAAACAAAACAAAACCCTGTCATCTTAGTATAGAAAAAACGTTGTTAGGTGGTGAATTTTGATGGATAAATTTGGTGTGGGGATAGGTCTGCAAATAGCATGAGTTGGTAGCAAAATGTGTACTTGGGAAAAGACCAATTAAAGGAGCCAGTACTGTCGAGTATTAATAATACAGGTATTTCAATTTTCTGCGTCGGCTTTGCGTTATGTCATAATCCTTGAACTGAGGGGGTCAGCTTCTTCACTGATCTTCAGAATCAGTTGAGATGCCTTCTTTTTTGAGAACATTTCTGTCAACTATTCTCCAACTATATTCAAATACTGTGTTCGACATTCTAAGCCTGAAAACAAACCAGATTGGGTCTCGGTCCTTGAGCAGTTTACAAACGATTTGACTTTTAAAAAGGGGACGCTTAAAAAGATCAAGTCCATATTCTATGAGACTATTTAGGGAAACTGGGCGGGGCGCTGGTTTTCACGGTAGTCGCCTCTCACGGAAAAACGGCTCGGGTTCCGCCTGCCTTTAAAAACCGCCAACGTTTCGTTCGCCACGCCCGGCGCCGTTCAAGGCTCCGCGGGTCTCCCTCGGCGGGACCTAAGGCGACCCCGTACGGCGGCGCGGCCGGAGGCGCATGCGCGGCAAAGCTCGGCCCCGCCTCCTACAGACCTTTACAACAGCCTGGCGGGAAGCCCTCCCGCCCAGTTGGCACCGCCTCTCATTGACAGCGCTTCGCTCGACGCCCGTCTGGCGGGCGCCTCGGCGCGCGGGTTCCCAGAGATCCGCCGTCGATTGGCAGTGCCTGAGAGGCTCGCGCGGAGCTCGATTGGCGCTGCCTGTGGGGGCGGAGTCGCTGTCTCGGCCGCCGCCGCCGCGCCGCCGCCGCGGGCTTGGTGTGTGAAGAAGGGCCTAGGCCCCGGCCTCCCGTGGTGGGCTCGCCGAGCGCCGGGGCTCGCGTCCCGCCGTCCCCTCGGCCCCAGCTTCGCCTCCCTGCGGACCCCCACGGGCTGGGCGCGGGGCACCCCTGCCGAAGCCATGGAGGACGAGGTGGTCCGCATTGCCAAGAAGATGGACAAGATGGTGCAGAAGAAGAACGCGGTGAGCGCGGCGGGCGCCGCGGGCCGGGAGGGCGGCCGGGCGGCTGGCGGGGGCCGGACGCGGCGGGCCTCGGGCCGGGCCCTCGGGGGGTCCTTTCTGGCGCGGGAAGCCGGCGGGGGCCGTGCGGGCGTCTCGGGGCGTTAGCCCGGGTGCTCGGTCCGTCCACGGCTCGCCGCTGCGCGCACGGCGCGGCGGACCTCACCGAGGGCTCCCCTCAACTTGCGGGGTCGGTTCGCTCGCTGATGACTTCGCTGAACGAGCCTGGAAAGCCCTTCACGGTTTGGAAGAATCCCATTCGCTTTTCCGCGGTCGCGGGCTGGCCGCTAAAAATAACGTCACCGAGGGGTTTGTGATACGTCTTAGACATCGAGCCTGATGACTGAAAATTCCTGTATCTTAGTTTTTTGAAGAATGCCGAACATTCACTTGATTGACCTGCACTGGGCTGCAGGTTTGGGTAGCGGTTGGGAAGGCGGAGTGGGCGACTGTGCTTGTTGGCAAGGTGCTAGAGGGTTTTTTTAAAGAAAAGTGGGTCTTGTTATGTGGTCTGTGTAAAGACGCACGCACCACGGTGCGCTGGTAGATGGACTTGGAAGGCTGTCATCGCCGAGCGCCCTGAGTGGTTTATGGTCAATACCGGCGGCGTTATCTTGCTATCGGTAAAGTGTCGATGTGAACACATTTTCTTTCTTTCTTTTTTTTAAATGTTTTATTTATTTCCAGGAGAGAGAGAGAGAGAGAGAGCGAGAGAGAGAGCAGGGGAGGGTCAGAGAGAGAGGGAGTCACAGACTGAAACAGGCTCCAGGCTCCGAGCTGGCAGTCAGCACAGAGCCCGACGCGGGGCTCGAACCCACGAACTGTGAGATCATGACCCAAGCGAAAGTCGGACGCTTAACCGACTAAGCCACCCAGGCGCCCCATGTGAACACATTTTCTTGGGGTTTCTTTGAAGTCTTCCAGTTTTTCCCTTTTTGGCCCCCAGCGTGTGCTACTTTGCAGCCCTCCGACTCCGTGCCATCTGTTTTCAGCCCAAACACCATGGCTGTCGTCACCTGAATATATTCCGCCCTGCTCAGTTCATTTTCAGCATCGGCGCATCCGACGTAACATATCCCCATCTACGAAATAAATTTCAGGTCAAACTAATGTGGAGGGGAAACAGGATGCTCAGATTCGTATAGCACTTTGGAGTCAACAGAGGATCTCCGCACAGTTCTTTATAGCCTCACAGCTGCGGTGTACCCATTTGGCAGAATAAGAAACCGAGTCAGAGATTAGGTAGTTCGCCTACTTAAATTAAGTACCGTGCAATTTGGATTAAGCTAGGACCCAGGTTTTCTACTGGACAGCATGCTGGAGCAGAAAATAGCATTAAACCCTGAATTCTTAAGATTTTGTGTGCAGCCTGTTCCTCTTTTTTTAACAGGTGCATTGTCTGGCGTGTAATTTCATACCCTGTTAATCTGTATTTGCAATTTTGATCTTTTTAAATATTTCCTGTTTGTTTTATGTTCCAGACTTTAACCGTTACCATTTAGTTTTCTCATTGATCCAGCCCTTTCATTCCCCCACTGCAAGTGATGCAATCGGGTTATTTAATAGGCTGAACATTTCTTTTATTTTATTTAAACTGGAAAGTTTTTTTTTTTTTTCTTTGTCTGGAGATCCCTGGATTCCCACTGTAGAAGCTCTTTGGGAAAAAGGCCTTTTGTTGGGTAACTTTTTCCTCTAACTCAGGCCATAATTTAAATCGATTAATCATGGAGTGATTTGTTTCTTTTCCTTGTAATAGGTGTTTGGTAAAAGTAAGTAACTCCTTAGTTGATAAATATGGAGAAGAACAGTTTGTATTTGCTTGCATTTCTCAAGTTACAAGCCAATGATGAGTCTGGGGGAGAATGAGGAAAAACTCTACAGATACCCCTCAAATCGCATTTATCTGCTAGTTCAAAATTTACCAATATGAAAACTTACCTCCAAACAGAAAGATAAAATTGACTAGCTCTTTTACATCCCCCCTTCTCCTTTTTCCTGTATATCTTACAGAAATTCAAATTGGCAAATGAAATAAAGAGAAAGGGAAGTGGTCTGAAGGACTCTCCCTCGTTGCCCTTCAAAGCATATCAGCTCACAAATAGCTTTTTGTAAAAATTTTTTAGAGAGCGAGAGAGTATGAGCAAAGGAGAGGGGCAGAAGGAGAGAGAGACCGAGACAGAGAGACAGAGAGAGAGAGAGAGAGAGAGAGTGAGTCATAAGCAGGTTCCATGCGCAGTGTGGAGCCCAACACAGGGCTTGATCCCGCTACCCTGGGATCATGTCCTGAACCGGCATTAAGAGTTGGACGTGTAATGGGGCGCCTGGGTGGCTTAGTCGGTTAAGCGTCCGACTTTCGCTTAGGTCATGATCTCGCAGTTCGTGGGTTTGAGCCCCGCGTCGGGCTCTGTGCTGACTGCCAGCTCAGAGCCTGGAGCCTATTTCAGAGTCTGTGTCTCCCTCTCTCTCTTACCCTCCCTTGCTCATGCTGTCTCTCTCTCTCTCTCTCCTAGAAATAAATAAAAATATTAAAAAAAAAAAAAAGAATTGGACGCATAAGCGACTGAGCTACCCAGGTTCCCCCACAATTAGCTTTTTTTTTTTTTTTTGCAAATAGT